ATCACTTGAGCCTGGGAGCTCGAGGCTATAGTGAGCTGAGATCACGCCACTGCATTCCAGCCTGGGCGACAGAGCAAGACCCTGTCTAAAAAAAAAAAAAAAAAAAAAAAAAAAAAAGGAAATACCCAGGATTGCTACAAAGAAAGTAAGTGAGATTTCCTCTGTAGATCATTTTCTTAATAATTGTTTCATTAGATTTCTAAACTTGATCTTAGAATCTGTGTGTGTATCTGTGTGTTATCAGGAAAAAGCCTGAAGAAAAAAAATTAGGAAAAACAAAATAAGGGTAGACAACATGCTGGGGACTTAATTTGTCAATTTTCCTTTGTTGTTCCTGTAAAAATATTTAGTCTCTGTCCCTCTCATTACACCTTCAATTTTTACTAGTTTGACATAAAATATCTTTTAAAATATTTATTGTGCATGGAGTATGTCAGATGTAGACACAGGACATCTAAAGGACTTAGTTTCTTATGGATGGAGAGTGACCCACAAGTGAATGTGTTCCTAGAAAGAAAATCACTTAGCTACAAAGAAAGTAAAATAAGGAGATGAGTAGTAGGAAGGTATTTCAAATTGAATAGTGATGGAAAGGTCTCTCTTGGGAAGACATTTGAGCTGAGAACTGAAGAGAAGTAAGAAGAGGCAGCCAGAATTGCAAAAATATCAAAGAACAGCTTCCTTGGCCATGGAAGTGGGAAGGGCTGTGATGAATCTGAGGCAACTGGAATTGACAATGATGGGGGAAAGCTATAGTGAAATCAGCTGAAGGCCGGAGGCCAGATTTTATAGGACTGGGATAGCCACTTGAATCTTACTCTAAATGCCATAGAAAGTGACCAAAAACCCGCTCCCTTGGTTTTGGTTTCAAAACAGTATTCTGGTGGTTGAGCAGAAAGGAGTTGGAGATGGGCGAGGAGGGCAGGAGAGAATATAAATTTGGAAAACAATAGTTGAGTTGGTGAAAGGAAGGCTTAACCTGTGGCTCTAAAGGAATGGGTTTGGGGGAAGAGAGCCATTGGGTTGAGATCCAGAGCGGCTTTAGATATGTTAATTTTGGGTGCTCCTTATACATTCTATTGCAAATGTGTTAAGAATTGGGCAGGAGATTGAAATCAGAGAGTGGAACTTAAATCTTCAAAAACAAGTAAGATTACCTAGGGAGAGACCAGGTCTGGGAGACCAGAACTCAACCTTGAAGCACCCCAAGATTGAGAGGTTCAGAGAATGTGGGACCAGAAAAGGCCACAGAGAACAAGACCAGTCAAGTTAGAGGAATGTCAGCTGCAGACTGATGAGAGAAGAAAACATTCTAGGAAGAAGGGCGTGGTCAGCTATGTTAACTGCTGCTGGGAGCTCAAGGAAAAATTTGAATTGGTGAATTTCTTTGTTTGGTGACTCAGTGGGGTCATCTGGGACATGTTCAGGGACCTAAGATGCGGGAAACCAGCAGGATTTCAAAGACCTAAGCAGAACAAAGGATGAAAGCATATTCAAAGACAAGTAAGGAGAGAGAAAGTATTTGCAACTCATACAATATACAGGAACTTGAATCTATAACTATCTCTTAAAATTGATCCCTCCCCCCAAAAAGGCCAAACCTGATGGAATAAACTGAGAAATAGGCTTGAACGTAAGAGTTGGCAGCAAAAGAAATGAAGATGATTTTTTAGCATATGAAAATAAAAGGCTTAGACATATTAATAATAGAACAGATGGAAGTTGAAAATACATGAATATACTATTTCTCACCCAGCCAGTGGGCAGTGATCCAAAAGTTTAACATCTTTTTAATTTGTTGCTTGGAGTGCAAAATTGTACAACTTTTGTGCTTGGGAAACTGACAAAACATGTCAAAATTATGGATGCATTCATTCACAGTCCCATTTGCGGGGAATATGCCTTTTCAGGCCAAGATTCTCAACTTTCTGGAATCAGTACTCCTTTGCACTCATTATTGATGAAAGTCCTAATAAGCTTTTGTTTATGATCGTTAGTATCTATGTTTACTGTATTAGAAATTTAAAACTGCATTTTATAATTATTCATTTAAAATAATATAAAACAAGCCAAGCACGGTGGCTCACGCCTGTAATCCCAGCATTTTGGGAGGCCGAGGCGGGCCGATCACCTGAGGTCGGGAGTTCGAGACCAGTGTGGCCAACACAGTGAAACCCTGTCTCTTACTAAAAATACAAAAAATCAGCCAGGTGTGGTGGCCGCGCCTGTAGTCCCAGCGACTCGGGAGGCTGAGGCAGGAGAATCGCTTGAACCCGGGAGGTGGAGGTTGCAGTGAGCTGAGATCGCACCACTGCACTCCAGCCTGGGCGACAGAGCAAGACCCTTTTAGAATTATCTTAAAATATTGACTCTTTTAGAATTAATAATTTAATTAATAAATATTTGTTTAATAGTAAAACAGGCTTTAATAAGTATTTAAGTATTTAATAAGTATTTAATACTCTAAAACAGGCTTTAAGAGACTTCAAAACCTGACAATATGCTTGATGTTTATTTTCCATTCAATTCAAAGATTACAAAGTCTTCTTGTCAAAATGAGTAAACTCAAGAGTTATGAAAGCTCAGGGGATGGTGAGAATAAATGACAGAATATCTGACAAGTATGTGTGAGTATCTTCACAGATGTTGGCTATACCCAGGTTTAGAAGAGAAAGGAAGATTGGATTAGAAAAATAAGAGGAGGAGGATGGACTGGCTGAGGAGGGGAGGGGTGCACAGGAATAAATGTGGTCTACTTGAAGAAAACTGGGGAATTAGGTTTTAGAAAAGAGATTGGGTGTAGGTAATCATTTGAGATAAGAGAAAGGGTGTATGGCCGGGCGCGGTGGCCAGAACTTTGGGAGACCAAGGAGGG